CGTTGAAGGCGGACGTGTGCAGCGGGGTGCCTTTGCCGCTCGCCGCGTTGGGATCTGCGCCCAGGTCCAGCAGGGCACGCACCTGCGAAGAAGCATGGACGGCGCCTCAACGGGAGCCTCGCACGACGTCATCAAGGACGATGAGTGCAAGCCAGTCGCGAGAATGTTTGCTCCTCGAAAACATCGATGTCGTGGCGAAAAAATCGATGGTTCATTTATTGAAGAACGTAGACTAACGGTTTTTCAAATAATAATAATAATAATAATAATAATAATAATAACAATAATAATAATAATAATAATAATAATAATAATAAGCCGGCCTCGTGGCGCAGGTGGTTGCAGCAGCAGTCGTCTGCACCGAGGAGGCTGCTGGTTCGAGTCCTGCGTAGGCATGGTCAAATTTGTGATTATCCCTTCACCATTCATCATTATCATCATATCATCTCATAAATAATTATTAGGAATATCTTGTGTAGGAATACAGCTGAAAAGTTGATCCTCATAATGACATACATTAATCTCATTCCAGGATAAGATACGACTGGGCCTCAGACGAGGTGTAGTATAGTCAATAATGGCCAACACGATAATAATAATGTTATAATAATAATAATAATAATAATAATAATAATAATAATAATAATATTTGTGTTGACATTTATATGCAACTAAAATCTCAAATAATGGCTAAAACTCTCTTCCGAAAACCTGGTCTATGGTTCAGAGGCCTTGGCCCTTGGCCACGTTGTACTGCGAGTGTGTGACTGTAGCGACCTAAAAGATGTTCATTTGTTACGACACAATATATGAGTGTGTACTTGTAGGTAAGCATGGAAATATGCATTTGTGTTTAATAACACACTTGAATCACTGGAGACATTGCTCTTTCGTTTGTATGAACGGTTACGAGCGGCTGAGAGGAAAACATAAAGGAGTCTGCGATTTAAAATGTTACCCCAAAGAATGATTTTGGGAAATTTGCTAGTCCAATGGAATCCGCACCACATCAAGGAGACATAGTTCTTAGGCGGAGCCGGGAGAGTCAGGCGGTGTTTGCAGGTGAAGCGGACAGAGCGACGTAGAGTGCGGAGGCGGCAAATCGGGCGGATGGTGTGGCCGAGCCCCGAGTCGGGAGAGCGGGCGGGGCGAGCGAAACGCGTGGGGAGGAGTGGGCGGGGCTTTGGGATCAGAAGGGTGGTTAATGTTCTGGCTACGTCTTAGTTTCTAAAATGTACCCAATGCAATACGGTAAAGGATTTTGAATGTAGTAAAATGTAGCATGAGTAGCTAAACTAACTTTTCGAAAACTCTCGAGTTCTAGCGACTCACAATATCTGGTTATTCATCTATATAAAAGGGCCAGTAAAACATTATCATATTAGCTACAATTATGGGATTTAGTGTTGACCATACGACGATTCTTTGCTAGCTGTTTTCTTCCCATTCCGTATTGCAGGTTTTATTTCTAACCGTGTGGTGAAATAGCATCTGAATTATTTTCCTGCTCCTCGCATTGACAGGCATATATTTGTTAAACATTATCTAGCTGCATCTCAAAACTGCCAAGCGTAGCTTACGATTATATCTCACTGAAGCCCTTTACATTTCAGAAAATGACACACCGACTGGTGTGAGCAACAACAATTGCTAGTGCAATGTCTTTGATCCGGAGGTCCTAGTGTTCGAGTCCCGGCAGTGGCAGATTTTCCACATGAGATAGTCAAATTCAACAGCTAGAAAATTTTTGGCAGGTGGTTGCTCTCGTAGTTTCTCCGATCTGTACCAAGCGAATGCCGGGGCAGAATCCACACAAAGGGCCAAGGAACGGGAGGAATCTATCCATCTATCAATCTATCAATCTATCAATCTATCCATCTACCAATCTATCTATATACCTATCTCTATGACACACACACACACACACTCTTCCATTCCCTACACTACTACGCACAAACAAGAATCGATTGGTGTGCGCATCCTCACCGCGTCCAGGCGGCCGACGCCCGCGGCGCAGTGCAGCGGCGTGCGCCCGTCCTCGGCGCACGGGGCGGCGACGTCCGCGC